AGTTTAGGATGTATGACAATTCTAAATCCCTCTCCACCTTTTCTGTGCGTGTGTGTTCTGCAGCTTGGACCATGATGCTTCTTCATATTCTCACTGGTCAAACGGCTCCAGTTCTGTCCTGCGCTTTCTCTGCTGACGGAGAGCTGGTGGTCTCTGGGTGAGAACCTCATCACATCAACATAAAGTCTGTTGTGCTAACATGCTAACTATAAAGAGTATGTTGACGTGGACAAAATTGTTGGTACCCCTCTACTGATGACCAAAAAGCCCACAATGATAACTGAAATAAGTTGAAAATGAAAGTAAAGTAATAATGAACAAAAATGTACTGAAAATTAATCAATGACAATCAGACGTTACGTCTGAAATATGGTTAAGCAGAACTGTTTTCAAAAAAGTAACTGATAAAACAGGCCTAGACTAAATTGATGGCACTTCTAGAAGAAAAAAAAAAAAGGAATTGGACAAATTTTTACATAAGTCTTTAATTTGCAAGCCTACATCGGAGCTGCAGGAAATGTCAGTCTCTGATAGCCATTGCTGATCAATAAAGGCTGCCTTTGCTTCTGTGAAGGATTTTTATGGGTTTTTTTTTGTTTTTTTGTTTTTTTTCTTTGCAAGTAAGCAGCAGATGCTACTGCTGAGTGTAGACCTTCCTGTTCTCTCAGTGAGCCACAGGAGGAATGGACTTTATTATAAAGCTGCTGTTGGCTCCTTCTGTTGCTCTTGGCTCAAAGTCAAACACACTGAAGATTAATCTGTTTCTTATTCTTGTCTTCCTCAGTTTTAATAAACTCATACATGACTACATGATTAATCTGTGGTGTAAATGCATACATATGGACTCTGAACACGAGGTGATCTTATTTACTGTAATTTTTACAGGTCGGTGGATAAAAGTGTGACGGTATACGATGCCGTAAGTAATGTTTCCAAAGTGTCCTTTTTTTTTTTTAATTCCTTCTCAGTTCGCAGTGATATAAAGATGACTTCTGAATCAAACATGTCTCGTCCCTGTAAATAGGAACTCAAAACATTCCAGTTGAACAGTTTGCACTTTGTTCACAGAACCTGGGAACCCTGCTCCACGTTTTGAAGCAACATGACAGGTAAATTACCCGGCCTCCTGCTGCGATGCAATCTCTGCAGCTCTCAGCCAAGCAGCAAAATATGGAGCCCCGGCGTTTCAGATCAAAATGTGCGATTTTTGCTTGATTAGTTTCTCCCAGAAGCGCTGGGTGCAGTGATGCAACAGTGTATTTCTGCTTTCTGCACAGTCATTGATGTGGCACTGCAGGTAAGAACCATCAGAGCGCTTTGAAGTGTTTGAAAGGATTTAGGGATCTCTTTTTTATTTTATTTTTTGACGGCTGAGGGAAACAGATTTTTGAGGCTGATCTCTTCCCGTGCCACTTTCAGGTTGTCACAAACACCCTTCACTTTCCTGTTATCTCGCCTTCCTATAGATATGTGACAGCGGTCGCTCTGTCTCCTGCCTTTGGCCTGATGGCAACCGGCTCGATGGACAGATCAGTAAATGTGTGGAAGATTGGAGATGGACATGAAGAAACTGGTAAATACTGTTGCAGTTGAGTTTGACACTTTTTAATGTCTTGAATAAACCTGTATTTTAAAAATTTGATGGAAAGAAAACCTCAGAAATGACTGCATAGTTAAAGTCCAAAGTTCCTATTTGCCTTCAAGAGGAGTTATGACGTTTATGTTATGATATTCCAGCTGGATAGACTATCACTGATCCTCATAGAGCTCTTGTAATGGAGGGAGGGTTAGGGAATGCTACTATAAGCAGGAACATGAAGTGAAAGAAAACATGCATTCGATAGACGTCTGAACAGCTCCTCCATCTGCCGTTCGCCAGCATGATGTTCATAAAAACTAATTCCCTCTCCTCTAAAACCTGTCTTTTAATACTCCTCCGCCGCTGCCGCTCCACGTCTTCGCTTTAATCTTTTTTCTTTCTGTCTTTTCATACAATGAACTTATTTCCTTTCATGTTTTTCTGCAGCGGCTGAATCACAGCAGGCGCCATGTCAAGGTAAATAACCGTCACTCTGTTTTTTTTTCTGTCCGAATCCATCAAGCATCGGGATTTATTTGAATGTTTTATGGTAAAACTGCATTTTGTGCAAATTGCTCACGTAGCGGTGTCTAGGACAAGCATTAAGACTTAATTTGTTGACCCCTCTGAAAAATATCTTCTTTTGGTGTGTCTGGCTAGAAAATAAATCTGGGGCTAGTATTCTTTTTGAACACAAATTCCATTTGTTGTTCAAATCTCGCTACAGCCCATATAGTCCGACTTATTTATTTCAGCCACAGCCAAGGTTTCTGAGGTAAACACAGCAAACGATGTGCAACACATTGAAATGCTGAACAGGTGCTTGCTCCATAAATCAATCACCAGTGCTTTATAAAACTCTTTAAAGCCTTTGAACTCTGACTTGCAGCAAGAAGGTTCTGGGTTTGAATCCTGGTTTAGGGTCTGCATGATCTTTCCATGCATGCATGGCTTCTATACTGGTATTCTGGTTTCCTCCCACAGTGAAAAAACATGACTAATAACAACAATCTGAAAAGTGTGGCATTTCTCTTAAGGCGTATCGACAAGATTTTCACATCTATTCCGAACTGTTTTCACCGTCAGTTTGGATGGAGAGAGTCTCTAAGACGTTAAGGTTTCTTACGTCTTTCCACAGATTCTCAATTAGATTTAGATCTGTAACTTTAACTTGTTCTGGGGCGTGAGCTCTCTGCTCATCTGATCGGTTTCCCTGTGCAGACCTGAAGAAAATTATCCTACAACATTCTGCTGCTGATATTCAGGGCAGGTTTTCCACCACACACACTGTGCAGGCCAGAAAAATGCATTTTAGTTTTGCCTAATCAGAGCGTCTTCCACGTGTTGCTGTGTTCTCTGTACGGTTTGCAAACTCTAAAGAAGGCTTTCCATGCCTTTCTTTTTCAGATAACGTTTCTCGGTAACACTTTATTTGAAGGGGGTTGAATAAGACTGACATAACACCTGTCATGAACATGAATAAGCCTTCATGAATATTTATGACTGTTGTCATAAAGCGTCATTCGGTAAATTATGACACTTTTAATACAAAGCTGACATTATTCAAAATGTCTTTGTTACGACAACTTGACATTAACCAAGAAATCATTACTGATATAAATTTGTTATAAAAGTATGACTGATTGCACTTTAAAAATTAGGTAACTTTATGTTATTAAAGGTAAAGTTTAAACAGTAATGATTTCCTGGTTAATGTCAAGTTGTCATAACAAAGACATTTTGAATAATGTCAACTTTGTATTAAAAGTGTCACAATTTACCGAATGACGCTTTATGACAACAGTCATAAATATTCATGAAGGCTTATTCATGTGCATGACAGGTGTTTATGACAGTGTCATGACAGTCTTATTCACCCCCCTTCAAATAAAGTGTTACCCGTTTCTCTTGCTACTCTTCCACGAAGGCCCGATTAGTGCAGCGTGTGACTAGTGGTTATGTTAACAGATTTTCCCACCTAAGCTATTGAGGTCTGAATACCCTCCAGTTACCATGGGGGCTCTTGGTTCCTTCTCTTTCAATAATGCTGTCCTTACATACATACAAATATATTTAATGAGATGTCCTTTTTTTTTTTTTTTTTTTTTTAATATAACTATAGGTTTAAGTAGGTACATTCATAGATTTATTTTTTTTTGTTTTCCTTTTAAAAGTGAAACAAAAAGACTAAGCTCTAAAGGATGCAGTCTGGAACTGCTCTGGCTCCAGTGAATCTTCCCTTCTTCTGGCATAGTGTTCCAATGAGTCAGCCCCCTAGACTGGGAGACTCCAGATGAGACACTTTATCAGCCAGGATTACACCAAAAAAGGCCTCTTGCTTTCCTCATGGCCGCACAAACCGACAAAGTTAGCATTTCTCCATTCACTTTAAGTGTTACGTCTTGGGAGATCTTGGGAAAACGGTAAACTACATCACTGTAAAAGCTTCTTGACAAAAAATGAAACGACGCTGTTAAGGATTCTAGCTGTCCTTTACTAAACTGTTCTATAAAGATGCCTCGTACAACAAAAGTTTGAAGATTACAGATCAAAAAAATATATACTCTGTTGTGGTTTGAATGAGAGTTGTGCTCAAGTTTCTGTGCCTACACTCAATAAAAAAACGTACATGAGATAAAATGTTAAAATTACAGTAGAAGGACTTGATTTAAAATGATTTTACAACTGTGTTTGTGGATCTTTATGGGTGGGTGCAGATGAAAGTAATTATCGCTCCCTTATCGGATCCTTTCTGTCGAGATTGGGAGGAAACTGTTTGTTTGCAGGAGATTGGGCTGTAATAGCTCAGCACTTCCTCCTAGCCTGTTGTGGGTTTTTTTTTGTTTTCTGCAGGAAGGAAATTGCCAGGTCACTCCAGGCTGCTGCTTGCTGATTGGACAGAGGAGGATGTGCAAAGCTGGCTGTGCGAAGAAGGACTGGATGAGCTCGTCATGATTTTTAAAACCAACAATATTGACGGGTCAGAGGTGAACCACATGAGCAAGGAGACTGTGGCTGAGCTGGGAATAGGTGAGGACAGAGAATACCTGACAGGATTAAAAAGCACCTTACTGTTTCTCACAACAATTATTAGAACAATTAAACATTGTTCCCAAAAAATTATTCGATCTGTAGTGACAACATTCCCAGAATTGGATGCTTTCTTCCGTAGAGCTTGATGAGAGTTGAGCTAAAATGTCCAGAGCGTCTGCATAGCTAGACATGCGATTATGCACTTTTGTGTCATTGTCGAGATTTAGAAACTTATTCTTGCATAGAGTTTGGATAAAATATGTAATTTTGTCATATTGTTTCTTATTGTCAGAGCTTGCAACACCTCAGAGACTTGATGATGCATTCAAAAATAATTTAGTGGTGTTGCTCCTGCGACACTGCCTGCTACTACTCTGTTCTGCATGTCCTTCAAAACAGTAGACAGGAAGTTAGCTGAGAGCAAACACTCTCCAGATCAAAAACATTTGACCTGCTCCCCTTGAATTAAAGTCAAACGATCAAGGATAAATGCTAAGATTCCTAATTGGTCCATCTAATGTTACTAGCTATTTATTTTACATCAGTAAGCTGTAGGCTTTGGCCTCTGCTTGTCAGATTTGTGACTTTATCTGACACTGCAAAATGGCCAATAATTGCCGTAGCTTGGAAATTAATCTCAAACAATTTGCATTTCTGTTTCATGCATCTAAAACCCCATAAGGTATTTCTTAAAATGAGCCATTCAGCATTAATCACTTCATCAGTTTAATTTTGTGGGGTTGGTGTACTCAGACTAAAACCCATTTTGTTTGTTTTAATTGTGAAGCAGCAGACAGCCAACCAGATTCGCATGCTGCTCAGTGATTCAAAGCAGGCCCCATACCATCGCTGCATGTTTAGTATGGAGGACAGCTCTCATCATTACCGCAGAAGAAATGGACAGATTGGCACATTTTTTGTCATGCTGTGCGACCTACATCCCCACAGTACAACACATAATTTCCTATGCATGCAAATAGTGTGTGCATTTGCATAGGCTTGCACTCACCCTCTCTCTTTCTCGTGCAGACACACACACAGCAAGTGAGATTTCCGTGAACTTTATGAAATATTCATTTCGCCCCCACCCACCCCTTCTCCATCAAATGATCAATCTAAATGTAAAGTGGACGGTATAGCACTTGTGATGAAAGATGCTGGAGTGTATAGAAATCCTAAACGAAGTATTACTTTGAAGTACAACTTTTCTAACATTGTTTATTAGCTCAGTAACAACTTGAGGGGTTCGAGGGGTTCAGCCTGATTGAATGATGTCATTTTTTCAGCGCGATCCAGGTTGGCTGTACTGCTGTCTTCTGTTGCTTGTTTTTTTTTTTTTGTTTTGTTTTTGTTGTTTTTTCTCTACACATTAGCATCTGAGCTCCCTTGTTGACATAATCATAAGCTGGATCAGCACTTGATGGGTTAACTGGTTCATAGCAACGCAGATGCATGATTGTTTTTTCTTTTTTTCTGTAGTACTTCAGTCTTTTTTTCCTCATCCATATTGATTTCCTGCTTTATGAATAGCAAAGGCGCTATTCAGTGCAGGACTAGTTTCTGATTTATAGAAGTTGATTGGAATGATGTTTTCAGACTAGAGGCTGAGTAATTTCTCCTTGAACAGAGGTAAAATGCCTACGCGTGCAGCCTTGGTGCGTCATTGCTTTCACTGCAACATGTTGGAGAGCAATACACAGTCAGGAGCATCAGGTTGGATTCAATAGTATTTGTTCAAATAGAAATGATTTTTCCAACAGACCAAAATGTACCACAAAAAATTGTATTTCAAATTATTTCTTTATAGACAGTTTTCAAAAAATGGGAACTAGTATTTTTTTTTTCTTGTACTTGGAAGATAAATTTAAATCTAGGGTCTGGAAGAAGAATTTTTACAGAATATGGTGTACAGCTGGTCTTTATGATTCTCTCTTTGCTCATTAATGTTCCCCAACAAACCAATGAAGAGTTCGCAAAATGCCTGGATTTTTTTTTTTATGTTAAATATCATAAAACAGTTAGTTACTTATAATGAGCTAAAGTATGAAAAGGATGTACAGGTGTGAATACTTCTACAAGTAAGACATGAACAAATGTTTTCTTTATCTTTGTGTACAATTCAGCTCCAAACCTTGTTACAGTGATCGTCAATCTATGCCTAACAGATTGCATGAGCAAGTCCTGAGCACTGATGGTGAAAATACACTGTAGTCAGCATTTCTGAAAAGGTTGCCGAGTTTCGTAAGTTAAGCTCAGGCCGTATAGCTTTTGCTGTTGCCATTGGCACAATCCACATTTCACAAATCGAGAGAAAATGTTTTTATTTGCTAAAGAGGAGCAAACCACAAGCTATGACAAAGAGGGTGGATAATACAGCTCCGGCAACAGCCTAGTGAATCTGAAGATGCACTTGTTGTCCCCAGCAGGATGCCTGTAGTTTTTCTTTCTCCATGTTTCACAAAGTTCATTTTCTACCTCAAAGAAATGGAGCGTAGAACAGAGTCCGAGTATCTGAAATCAATGTGATTAAAATTTTACAAGGTTAAGAGAAGCACAAAAAATAAAATAAAGTGCCCCAGTGTCTGTCCACCTAGCAAGCTAAGCATCTATATATCAGTTTTAATTAGTTTCCTTAAGATCTATAGCATAAATTAATGTAAAACAAAAGCAGGGATAGGTTTCTGAGAGATTTAGACATTGGGATTGGGGGCTACAAATTATACAGAGTAACAAGTGGCACATATGATGGCAGTTCATATGCACTTAAAATAATAGATGTGGTTCAGATGGAGGGGATCAAATGGCTCATGGGAAGGAAGTGGCATCTTTCACATCTCTTCGTATACAAGCGGCAGGAGGACCTCCTCAGGGGACTTACATTTTTAAAAACCTCTAAAGCAGTCATCAGCAGTATTTGGTATAATTTGTATTTTAGTAGTTGCTTAAAGAAGAATATTCCAATGTGAGTTGGGTCAAACATTTTGAGTTGCCTTTCAGAAACTTCTCACAATATTATTGGCTGGAATTTTAGCCTTTTTCACACAGTTTTCCAGCTCAACCTACAAAGTTTCTATGAGGCTGAGACTGAGAACAGGGGTTTTGTGATTGTCTCTCCAAAACTTCACTGATTTGTCAGTGTGCTTCAGACCATTCTCCGTTTGGAAGACCCATGTGTTCTCTAGCTTTAACTTCCTAGCTGATGTCTTGAGATGTTGCTTTAATATTCCCAAATTATGTTCCTTCCTCAAATTGACAACGATTTCTGTAAGGTACACCCATCCTTTGTGCATCAAAACTCCACTCATGATTGGAAAATCACTCCAACTTTATTTTCATCAGACCACAGGATATGGCTTTGTAAAAAAATAAGATCTTTTGTCCCTTTGCCTAGCCTTTAAAATGAAACTATAAACACGCATGGTGTTGCATTAGCGTCATGCAGGGAAAATGGGTTTAAATACGTATGTTGAATCATTCAGTGCCCTTATTGTAATAAAATTGTCAAGACTTTAAAAGTCATGCTAGCAAATGTCACTGCAGCTGCTGTTACTGCCTGAATGAGACATGCTTCTCTGTGGCACGGACATTACCCACAGACACGCAACTAATCATGTGCAGCCATAAAGGTCGGCCCTCCCTTTTAGCTGTTCGAGAAATTTGCTGCAGATGACAAATTCAAAGGCTGCCGTCAGTAGGCCGAGACATGCAGCTGCGTGTAGGGAGATTTTTTTTCCTCTTTTGGACCTGCTGGATGTTTACCTCTCAGGCAGAATGAGAGGAGATGTTAAGTTGCCGGAACTGAGGAGCAAAACGTCTGGCTCTTTGTGACTCAGCACAGATTTATTTCAGATTTTTGTTAAGTCAGTTTTAGTCGGTCTGCTGTGATTTTAGTTACTTAGCTCAACAGAAAGTAACAAGATATTAAACTGAGCTAATGTAAAAAAAATATATATATATAAAAATTCAGAAATGTTCATTTTCAAATCCATACTGACTGAAACTATCTGGTTGTGGTTTTGCAGAGTCTGTAGGTCTTCGAGGACGTCTCCTGAGGAAAATCGAGGCCCTGAAGGCGGAGCAGAGCGGCTCAGAAGCTCCGGATGAGTTTCTGTGTCCAATCACCAGAGAGCTGATGAAGGATCCAGTCATAGCTGCAGGTTTGTTCACATTAAAAGCAGAAAACCGTTGTCCCCTTCATCAGACCTGGTAACTCAGTTCTCTGCCACTGCTGTGGTTCTCAAACATAAACTGAGCGTCTGTCCCACAGATGGGTACTCCTACGAACGAGAATCCATCGAGAGCTGGATCCGAGGCAAGAACAAAACAAGCCCAATGACCAACCTGCCCCTGCAGACGACTCTGCTGACCCCCAACAGATCCCTGAAGATGGCAATAACCCGCTGGAAGTCCAGTCAGTAAACCAGCAGCTCATTTTACATTTTCTAAAATGCCACAGGTACTTAAACTACTGTAATTGCCAGAAAGGTAATAAGTGTTCTCATTACTGAGTCAATTTGCTGCTTTGTTGAGTTTCACTTTAGAAACTGATATAGAAAATTGCCAGATTTATTTCAAATATATTAACCAGTCAGCTTGGTTTTTTTGTATTGTACCGTGGAGCTTTTCAATGTTAAAAAGAAACAACGTAGAATATGATTCTAAAGATAATTTATTGAATATTTATTAGAACTTTGATCAAAATGAGAAAACAGTTTATTACTGGAATTTAATTCCAGGAGTGACTCTGTTAATTTTGTCTACAATTGTTTATGGCAAATAAAAACTTCAAAATAAAATCAGTCAGAATATCTGAATAATTCAGAATACCAAGAGCAAAATATTTTTTTTAATGTAGATTTGTTAGCCTACTAATATGCGTACAATACTTGGCTGGGGCTTCTGTTGCATGAATTACTGCATCGGTGCTGTGCGGCATGAACTCAGTCAGCTTGTCTAGATGCTAGAGTGTTAAGGAAACCAAGTTGTTTTGCGACCTTAACGTCCAAATGAGGCACAACAATTACTGACATCTGAAAATAGGACTTTGGACCACTGAGCAGCAGTCCTGTCCCTTTTTCTCACTCTTAAAGCAAGTCCAGGTTTAACAGTGGCTTATCGCAAAAAATGCGACACTTGTAGACCCTCTCTGCACTTCTATGGCTGCGGATGCTTCAAAGGAGCTTCTCTGCTTAACGTTCTTCTCTTGGACTTAACTTTCAACCCACCTGTTTGGATACATCACTCTCTTTGTTAGCCTTTTATATAAATGTCCGCTAGTCAACCATCACATCAGGAATAATTTTCACTCTTATGTTTGGCCACAAAATGACATTTGTGCATTCAAAAGTCTTGTCATCATATTCAAATTTTCAGAAAAACTCGATTTTGGTTTTTTCAACCAATACTTAATCATCAATTAACAGCAATAAACAGCACTATTTTGTAGTGAAACTATATAATTGGAGTTTTACTTTTGTGCTGAATTATGGAAATACATTTACACTGGCTGTATTCAAGTGCTCTTAAAACAGTGAAACAGAAGTTTAAAGCTGCATGCACTTTTGTTTCCCCACTATCTGAAGTTAAATCGGATCAAGCGTCTCTTGTTTTTAGGTTTGAATCGCCAGAAAACGTATGAACATTTTTTTCTTAAGAGAACTTGTAACTTTGAATTCATAAGTTTAATTTCAGTGAGACAAAAAAAAAAAATGTCTCAACAGTGCATGTAAAATTCTGGTTTCAAATGAATTTTACATGCAGTTGAAACCAGAGTTTTTGTATGAAAACTACAACTCACAAGACGGCTTGTAGTCAACCTGCAGTTGCCTTGTGTTGCCAAAGATGGTGCTCTGCATTGTAAGGTTGTTGTTTTTTTTTGTATAATCTGTTTAATTACATTCAGCAGACTTAATAGTTGTATATTTAGACATTTTAAATACTGCAATAATAATCTGTATGCATTTAAGACAAAAACCCAGGAGACGGATGTTTTTTTTTTCTCCCTCAGTGGGTCTTTATTTCGCTCTCGCATGGTGGCAGTAATGTTCATTACAGTATGTGATCACGGCTAATAAAGCTCACAATACTGAAAACATATTAACAACTGCATTTAACGTACACCATAAAATAAAGCTAATGGCACCGAGCCCCCAAACCACCTCTTTTTTTTTTAAAGATATTCCTGTTTTTCTGTTATATAAACTGCAACTGTAGCATGCGTTGAATTCTCAATTACTGAGAGTCAAATGCCTTTGTAGCTGTGCAAAAATAACTATATAAAATATATTGCTTTTACAATTAACCAAGCCATTGGCACTGTGAATAAATTAACTAGACAGCAACAACAAGCAGATACAGAAAGGATTCAGTGTTAATGGTGGCTTATGCAATGTACAAATTTATATTCAACACCATTTCAACAACATTGTGCCTAAAACTCAAAATACACAAGTCCGAACTTGTCAATACACTCAACATAGACCTTCACTAAAAAGAAGAAACAGTACATATTTATATAATATACAGATGAGGATCTATAACATCCTTCGTAAGTCACAGGAATGCCCATCCCTTAGTTCTTTCAGACGTTTCTCAAAGTTCTCAGACCTCGTCACTTTTAGCACACAGTGTGGTGTTAATATTGCTGATTTTTTTTTTTATTTCTATGCCAACTGGATTCTACTCAACTGAACAGACATTCAGAAATTACAGTAATTGGTCAAAGTCTCAGATTACTTTAACATTCAGACTAAAATGGTTTTCTATTATGTTCCCCTTATCTCCCAAAACGGACTTACCTCAAACCCTCAATTTCACTGTATTATTTGGTAGCTCAACTTTGCTCATCTTTTTGGCAGTAGAACCACAACTAATACATTTTGCGAAAGTGTTTTCACTCTATAACTTATGTAAAGTCGCTCCAAACTATTTCAGTGAGGAAACGAGCATACATCACTGTATCTGTGTTAAGAGTAGAGCTGAACAGGAACTGATCACATTTTGGTTATAACGGCAAATTACCTTCAAACTCTTCAGGCATTCTTAAACAGTTGCTTAAGCAATATAAAACATTGCAACAAATAAATTACAAATTATTTAGACAGAATGATTCACTCAACCATGTCACCTTCACATTAACCAAATAAAACCAAAGTGGTGCTGATTGTGCTGCGTTTTGTTTTGTTTGTGCTACTATAATATTAAAAGATTGTTAAACGGCAACAATCTCGACACTCAAGCAAAAGGAACTTTAAAAACATTAAAAATGATTGCATCACCATAAACCACCAAACTAAAATAAATGTTTAACATTTTACGTTTTTTGTTCTAAGGAATTTGGTGGGGCTAAAGGAAAACTTAATTGAATTTTTTTTTTTTATTCCACTCGTTTGCCAATTCAGATTCAGGAAATTTACTCTCAAATGACTCTGGGAACTCTAAGATTTTAATCCCATAGAGAGGACAGCAGCAGCAAAATCATTGGTTGTAGTTTTGCTGTCAGAAATTACGCTGTATGTTATGAGCTGGTCCTTTCTTCTCCCCTCCAAAACTTGAGTCACGATGGTCAAAGTTCACTGATTACACATTTACACAAAGCTTGGAGGGGCCTTACTTTGCTTTTGAATCATGAGTTTCATTAATTTGAACCTTGCTGATGTGAAAGGTGGAAATCTGTGTTCTGAGAGATCACTAATGCAACAATCAGCAACATTCCTGTAGGAGACATAGATGACATGAATCGCTCCAGTAGACCTCAAATTTGAAGAGAAAATGTGTTGCATAATCACAAGATTATTATTCCTCCGCCAGGATGAGCTGTAATCTACCAAATGTTAATGTCTTCCTTTATTATGACACGTTTAAAGTGTTAAAAGCTAGAACCGAATCATACTTAAAGTGAACAAGACAGACCTGACAGGAAGTCTAGAAGCAGTTTCTCTTTTCAGTAATGATTTTTTATTTTATTTTATGTACAAGTGTGTAAAAAGTGAATAGGTCAGAAACTTTTTTTGAAACTAGCCACTCAGCACCATAGATGTGAACACATTTTAAGCCTAACTGTGTGTTCAGTAATAACATATTGTAACTGTGTGAGCCGTTGGAGCACTTGCTTGGCCTAAGTGTGTGTAACGTGCTCCGTGTCTCGCTGCGTCGATCAGGATTGTACGTCGTGTCCGCAGACCTTCAGTGCAATGTTTCCAGCTTGGCTGAATGACGCCGGACATGCTGTCGTGTAACAGAAGCTGCAGACCAAGAGGAGTAAAACTCTAAGCTGCTCGTTTGTATGCACAAGCAGCCAGCAAACTGCACTCCTTAAAATCTCGGGTGAAACTGGAATCTGGCGCTGGTTTAAAAAAAAAAACAAAACAAAACAAAAAAAAATTGTCCCTCATTTTGGATTTTTGCTTGTGTGCGTTGTGGACGGTGTGGAGAGATGAACCATTCCTACACGTTCGACTCTATAAAGGATCGCTTTGGTTTCATTGAAGCTACATGAATGGCGGGATTATCTCGGCCCAGGCCAGGCTGCTTGGAGTTACCGTCTATGAAAGTATGCGGCATGGCCAGCGCTGGCTTGGACTCTTTGTAGCAGTTGGCCACTTGGCAGAACTTCTCCAATTCCTTGGCATGCATGCCATTGTGTAAGCCACTCATCACGGCGCCACCCTGTGGCAGCGACGCTTTGTGCTGCTCCTGGTAAGTGCTCACCGATTTGCCGTAAGACAGCTCACAGTCGACCGGCTGCAGACCCATCGTCGACACGTTGTGGCACATCAAGCCGTCAGAGGAGTGGTTAAACCAGCTGCGACTGACTGACTGAAGGCTCGGATGGCACGGCTGCTGTTGCTGCTGAAATCGAGCCGTTTTGTCAGTTATGCCCATGAAAGGTCTGGGTTTATACTCCCCACCAGCGCCGCCCTGCTGATTGTGCTTTTTCTCTGAGATTTTGCTGCGGACGTCGGGTCCCAGTTTGCCGCTGTCCGACAAGCTGCTGCTGGACGCCAGGCTGCTGGTGGAGCTGGACACGCGCATGCTGTTGACGCTTCCTCCCTGAGGTCCCGCCGCTGCAGCATCGTGGTTCCCCAAGTGTCCCGGGCCGGAGCAGGCCAAGCCCTCCAGAGAAGAAGCAGAGTGGGCAGACAGCCTCTCCGGCCCCAGAGCTTTGGAGGAGCTGCAGGATAAGTACGAAGCCTGGGAAGAAAGCAGGCTGTCGCTGTCACAACTCTGACCCATGAAGGAGGAAGCGGCCCCCAGCAACATGCGGTTCTCGTACACTGGCTCATCAGCCGGAGCAGGCAGGGGGCTTATGTCAATACCGGGACCTGGCTTCAGCTTCCTGGACATGTGTCGGCTGGGCAACGGGCTGGAGGGTGCGTACTGAGATTTGCCCCCAGCAGAGCGGCCCCCCACGGCCTGCATGGAAGTCATGTGCTGATTGGTCTTTATTATCTGAGCCTGCTTGGTGGGCTGCAGGACCAGCGCCTGCTGGGCCAGCGCCTCCCGGTGCTCTCGAGGGTATCGGTGTGGGGGGAGTCTGCTGGGGCCCGGAGGGGAGGTGGGGGTCGCACAGCTGTTAACATCTGTGGATTCTCTGTTGAAGGAGAAACTGTTCTGGGACCAGCAGGCTTCACCTGTCCTGTCGCGCTTCAAGGCCACTGGATCCTCGTCATCGTCCTTCTCCTCTTCCTCCTCCTCCAGAATGTCTCTTTGGGCTTCCAAGCTCCTCGCCGGCCTGTGCTCTGACGGGTCAATCTGGCTCTCATTCTGCTCTGGATCAGATTCGTGGCCTCCTGATGCCTGGCTGCAAGCAGCCGCAGCTCCAGCGAAGCTGCCTTTAGTCTGCGCTCTCTGCATCTGTTTGCACTCCTCTTCAACTCGAGCCAGGAGACGACGGATCTCTCGATTATTCGGACACAGTTTGGCTGCTTCCTGCAGGTCGGCCAGGGCTGCAGTGAACTGTCTATGAACAGAAGAGGCGGCGTTACCGGATACACATCGGGGACGATTAGTTACAGCTGGTTTGGGTGTTGAATAGTTTACCTGCTGCTTCTTTTAGCTCTGGCTCTGGCATAGTAGGCCTCGTAGGATTTGGGTTTCAGCTCCAGCGCTTTTGTTGCAAATTCCTCAGCCATCCCAAAATCCTACAAAAACAAAATAGGATTTTACAAAGAAAATGTAAAATCATAAACAAGCACACCCAACACTTTAATTTTTTTTTTCAGCATCCAAAGCTCCATCTGTTCCTATCAAAGCAGTTTTAAATTATGTGTGTTCTTCTAGTGACTGTCAGCCACACCCTGAGCGAGCTGTGTGGCTGTTTATTCACAACTTTATAAGCTGTGCACATCAGTCCGCTGATCTAACAACTGAGTTTTCTATAAAACGATCCAGATGCTGTTTCACCCTTCACCATAGCATTCGCAGCAAATGAGAGATTGCACAGACTGCTGCAGCTCTTGCTTTGTCAGCCATTTAAATTGGGTGTGCCCACTGTGTTTAGATATCCCCTGAAAGACTCGAGATCAAAACAAACCACCAAGTTTTATGAAGACATGATTATCTTGAAGTTTTGTCAACAGACAAAACTCGAGTTGTTAACTAACCGGTCAGAAATGCAAAAATCCTCACTTTTTCTGATCAGTGAATGCACCTTGGAAAAGTGCTAAAAGTTCAAGCTCACAACCCCACTCTTCAGTGTGAACGGTGTTGCCGAGTAAAAACTCAAAGATAGTTATTTATAGAATCAGTAGGGGGTTTATTAAGTAAAATCACTGAGATGTTTAAAAAAAAAATGTCATTACATGGCCGACATTTATTTAAACTTTGAACTGGTGAGCGAGAGCAAGACTTTCAGCAGATAACGGGAAGGCCGGATAGAGTAAAGCAAAGTTGCTTTGTCTTATTCTTTTGGGCTTTTATCAATAATTTATATCAAAACATAATAAACATGCTAATGTTTGACTAGCATGAAAGCCAAGTGCTCTGCATGAAAAAGAGTTGATGTTGGAGGAGCATTCTGACCACGGGCTCTACTGCCCTGCTGAGTTAATTATGAGGGATGCAGTCACAATACTGATGTAAAATATGTATTGCTGATTACATGTCGTGTTCTTAAGGTCTTCTGCATATTCTTAAGTAGAGAATCCATGCAACTTGTCTACATCACAGACACCTGGTAAAGTGTACAGTAGAAACTCACAGGAGACAAGCATCTGAGCTGCTAGGCTCAAATCGCCTGCTGCTTCACAGTATGTGATTACATAAGCAGCTGTTGGAAAACAAATGTCTTTCCTATTGGACTGTGTCTGTAAAACCAAAGTCATTCTGCAAAAATAATTAGGAGGAATAAAACAATGCAAAGACCATTTAACTTCTCCCCAATGTTTTCTTTTTAGTCATCTAAAAAAAAAAAAGGAAAAGTCTCAATCACCCAAGTTTTTATTTCGAGTCTGGCAATTTAAAAGTGTTTAATCAGAAGACTAAGCATTTTAGTCCTCCATCTCCCCTCCATTCCAATCTGAGTTCATACATCTTTGTAAAATAAGGTTTAAGAATTTGTAGACAATTATTAATAATTTCATTATACTAACAAAAATCTGGCAAGTGAGATGCCTCTTAGTTTGAGTGGCCTTGATCAAACTAACAGATCAGTGATTTGAGGAAAAAGACAGACTTACATTGGTTTTTCTGCGACACCGGGAGAGATTGAGATACAAAGAGACCCGCAGGTCTTTAAAAGCCTTCAGGTCATCACCAAAGCCTTCCCGAGGAAACTTCCTGAGGGCGTACTGGTACCTCTGAGCCGCCTCTTTCATCTTCCCTTTCTGGAGGACACAACGAGGTCAGACGTGCAACGGCAAAAAAAAAAAAGAAAGAAAGAAAAAAAAGGAGCATAGGACCAGGAGGAAAAGTGAGGAAATGTGGGAGAGAGGGATACAGTGAGCAGGTATTCCCTTCAGCATCTGTTTTCTTACTGCTTTTTCCTCTAATCAATCACAGGTTTAATACAAAGGCAAGCTCTAACACAACGCAAGTAAGTTACATCTGACAAGCAGCTTTTGCGACAAACCTCACTCTGTTAAATGTCAACCATCGATCACGAGTCCCTCACAACTCACGTTCTATACCACAGAGATCATCATGAATAAATCGAGCTTTGGTTCATGTTTCTCTTCAGAGAAACAATCTTGACATTATCAGCTAGCCCCATTAATGAAACGTCTCTTTTTTATGAGTAATAAGGATGAATTCATTAAAACGGCACTCTACACGCAGCCTTTTACCTTGTATAGCAGGTTTCCCTCCTCCATCAGCTTCTGCAGAAGAATGATGAGGATATCAGGCTTGGAAGTAGCCATGGCCCAGGCAGCATTCCCTGTGGAAACGCAAAGCATCCTGTGAAGCTTTTTTTTTTTTTCCTTTCGTAGCAAACCAAGCATCAGCGTATTCTCTTGAAATTGGTACAAGTTAGAGTTACCTAAAGATTGTACCTGATCGATCGTAAGGAGACGTTCTGTAGCCTTAGTTTATTGAAGGCAGTTAGGAAAGAATTGGGAGAGGGAGAGGTAAGACAAGCGAGAGTCGTCATTTGCAGTGAGGGGAAAATGTGTTGCTAACTGCAGCGTGACAATATGCAATTATGTGTCACTCAGCCTGAAATGGGTTTTGTGTTTGCAGCGGCAAATGCACGGGGAGCAAATTTAAATGTTCGGCCCATTATCAGTTTTGTTCTGAGACGGCAGAGAGCACCGCAGATAAGCGACGGGCTCTAGATAGCTTCATGAAAGTCATTGGGGTGACAAGTCATTCTTAAAGTTAAGGCAGCAGCACACGAGGAAGAAATGGACCCGACACACACATACACACACATGCACGCAAACAAACAGAAGATTTAGTGAGACATGCAGCGACAGGAGCAGTTTTTTCCCCCCACAACATTCCTCTACATTTGTCTGGGATTATTCTTAGAATCATGAGATACCGAGACACACAAACAAGCTGGAGACAAGAGGGCTTTTCTGTGTTTACCAAAAGATGTGAAACAACCCAGAAAGCCAAAGAAAACTACATGTACCAAATGTCAAACACTACATTTCTGTCGACCTCAACATGGCGGTGTGTTTGTTAGAGAGGCGGTCCTACCCAGCTTGGCCCCTTTCTTCAGCAGAGTCACCACCACTGACGTGTTCCTGCATCCGATGGCCCGGTCCAGAGGTCTCATCCCACTGTGGTCCACATGCTCAATCACTGCTCCTCTTTCTACCAAGTACTGGACCTACAGGACCACACACACACTTATACCACAAACTTCCATAACACAAGGTTTATTCACAATTTTTCTTTCAATGTTTCATGATTTTCCAGACAAATATTTAAAGATGTTGCAGTCAAACCTAGGTCCAGAAAGGGATTAAATGAAACATTTATTGTGAATTTAGTCGTAGTCAAGCTTTAAATGTGGAACTTGCAAAGATGGATGGATGACATAGAATGATGGACGATAAATTGATGGACGTGCAAAAGTTTATATATATATACATATATATATATATATATACAGGTGCTGGTCATAAAATTAGAATATTGTGATAAAGTTCATTATTTTCCATAATGTCATGATAAAAATTAAATTGTCATATATTTTAGATTCATTGCACACCAACTGAAATATTTCAGGTCTTTTCAGGTCTGCTCTATATATATATATATATATATATATATATATATATATATATATATATATATATATATATATATATATCTCCATTTACTTTGCAAATAAATTATCACCTGTTCTGCAATTATCTGAGTAATATCCTTAACGGAGGCCTTAACGTGTGTTTCATTATTTAAACATCAGAGTTTTAAAACAGCATTTAAAAAATAATGAAAGCAATTTTGACCTAAAATGAAAGACGAGATTGTTGTGGAAGATGAAGCAAACGAATTTGATGTAAACGCAACCATGTGATTCTTTAAAGCAAAGTCCAGCATAAACGTACAGACAGAAGCATGCTAGGTTTAAATTTTTTTGATATTTGCCATGTGGATCAGGCTGATGGGAACGAAATCTGGAAAAATAAATATTCCCACATTTTCTATTATTTTTTTTCCACACCTAGAAGAAACTTCAAGTTAGTCCTTTTCCAGATTTCAAAAACTGCTACCCTGATAACATCATTAGCCATCACAGCTTCACTTACAATCTCAGCATCTCCGTAGAAGGCGGCGAGGTCCAGCGGCGTCCGTCCGTTTTTGTCCGTGTGGTCGATGACCGCACCTTTCTCCACCAAAAACTGCACCACATTCTTATGTCCTTTCAAACACGCCCAGCTAAGAGGCATCAGTCCCTCTTTGTCCATCGAAGTTAAAGAAGCACCTTTGAGGCAAACATTACCACACGGGTTATTCTTTTTTGCACTTGGGTAACAGACATTCATCTTAGTGGTGTAGAGTGATTGGTGTTTACCTTTAGACAACAGGAACTCAACTGTACTCAGGTGACCCTCGCAGGCAGCCACCATGAGCAGCGTCCTACCCTGCTTGTCGCTGATGTTAATGTCAGCACCGTGTTGCAGCAGCAGCTCTGCAATCTGAAAAATAACCCGAAAAGAAAAAAAGAAAAAAAGGTTTAATTTAGCACGGACAATGTCTGCATCCAAAATCAGGCTGGAAAGCAACTGCTGTGATGCCTTGATGCAGCAGAGTTACTGCGGCAGGTTACTGCGAGTGGAAACAGTTTATCAGGAACAAACAAGCTGCTCAGCACATCTTACCTGCCAGTGTCCCTGTCTGACAGCGCAGAACAGGGGAGACACCCCCCGCCGGTTCACCTGCTGCACCACCGCCCCCTGCTCCAGCAGGAAGCCGCACACCTCCATCTTCCCCCGGCCTGCAGCAGCTGTCAGAGCTGAATTACAAACAGGAAGAAAACAAACAGGTTTGTCAGAACTTGGAAATCCACAGGAAGGATACCGAACCCTACAGAAGTATTCACACCGCCTGAGGATTTTCACATTTCTTCATGTTTTTTGTTACAACCACAAAGTGCAATGCATTTTACTAGACTTTTTTGTGACAACTTTCAAAAAGCAGAGCGTTTGTGAAACCCCTCGTCTACTTTGGTGTCCCTAAATAAAACGCAGTGAAGCCAGTTTTATTTCTTCATTAGTGACTAAAATCTGCCAGTGTCCAAACTAACTATTTTTCACCTTTAATCCAAAGAATAAAGGTGAAGTAATCCCAGGCTTCACAGGTCAGTGTTCAAGCCATGATTGAAAATGAAAACAGAATGACCAGAATGTAGACGTGCCAAGATATCGCCATGAATCTAAACTGAAATCTGAACAAGAAAAGCAGCCAAGTGGCCAAATTCAACTCTAGAGACTTTGCTGAGATTCATAACTCATGTGGCAAGAAACTATTAGTGGTAAATTCCACAAATTTAACCGGTGTGGAAGCGTGACAATAAGAAACCCCTGAAAAGTCTCATTGTAGTTTGGCATGCTCCACGTAGGAGAAACGACAACCGTGTGGAAGAATGTACTCTAGTTACTTGAGACCAAAGTTTCTGGCCTAAATGTGAAGGACAAATAACCTACCACATCTTAGGAAAACACCACGGTGGTCACATCAAATCCAAATGAAACAAGTTGGCATTTGCATTTGTTGTATGACCAATTGTGGAAAAGTACAAAGAGTAAGAATAGTTTTGCAAGCTATACTGATGAGAACCAATGCCTTAAGTTGCAACAGAGGGCGTTGGGGAAAAAAAAGGAAGATTTGGCTATAAAAAAGTAACTCCCATTCTTCACAAACTAAAGACATGCGGCTAATTGAGTTTAAATCAGATAATGTTTGTGCTTATTAAAACTCATTAAATTCTTGCCTCGTATTCCCCAGACCTCATAGACAGAGACGAGGACTCAGTCATTTCATGCACCAGCAGACAAACACAAGCTGACAAAGTCAACCAGCTCTGTTAAACACACACTCCTGTTTGCGTTTTAGGTCTTCTTCAAACCACCATTCTGACGAAAAAAAAATAAAAAAAACCCAACAGCACAAGCAGTGAATTACTATGAAGAGGAGACACAGTTATAACGTTGGATGCTTACGGAGAACAGATGGATCGGTCCTAAATGAACGGCGGTTCTCCAAACAGAGCGAGCTCCACCAGAGGAGCGGGAGCAGGTCTGTTCTCACATTCACCTCGGAGACGAAAGGTGCCGCAGAGCCTCCATGTCTAACTGACATCATCCATCTGGATGAACAGTCTCCCCAGCCAAAAACAACCCCGCCCGCCATCTGTTAAAAACGTGGATATCCTCACACAGTTCACACATGGGAACAATGACTCTGAAGCAGCTAAACTTAGCCTGGGCTCCAGGGAGCAGCGTTAGCGGCGCTCTGGGAAGGTGCACGCTAGTTTACAAAGAGCAGACACGAGAGCAGCTGTTGACTGATGGCTGTTTATGCACATCTCATTCAGCTATTTTCAAATATTCAGGCCAAAAATGCTAATATTTATGTAAGTAATAAGAGTAATCTCAACAGCCCTTCCATTGCGCAATACCTGAACTTTTTAAAATTCCTAATCCGCAGAGAGGGAGCTCATTTCCGTGACTTGGTCTCTGAATGTTCATGAGTTGACATTCTAGCAACGTTGATAAAAGGTTGCTGATGTTGATGAATAATAAAGTAAAAAAGTTTAACTTTTTCGCCAACTCTAAAAGAATGTCAAGTGAAAAAGTAGTTGTTGCTTTTTTATAATTGAATAATTTTCGAAAATGACAACCAGAGAAGGTTCAAGGACCATCACAAACATTTATGTATACAAAATGAAAGCACGCTCTGTCTGAAAATGTAGCAGATGATAAAAAGCAGAAAACAAAACACCATGCTACACATACTGCACTTACTTAGCAGCACTCTCATCTAAAAGTTGAGAATTTAAGTTACCAAAGTGTGAAAAGTGGTTCTGAGCCCAGCGACATCTTTCCAAGTCTCTACTGAGTGACAGTCTGCAGCTGTAGGCCGTCACTTAGTCGTGTTTCTTCATCTAAACACAAGAGTTCATGGCTGTGTTTTCACCTATAAACAAAGCAGCAGGAAACGGCTTCCTGTGCAGAGCATCCGAAAAGAATTCGCAGTGCTTCGGTTTTTCCACCTTTTGTTTTGCTACAGGCTTTTTGCAAATTTAATTTAAATAATCTTTCTCCAAAATTTTACACACAAATACCCTATTACAACAATGTGGAAAAATGTTTGTGGCTAAACAATCAAGGTAGCCATCGCAAAAAAAAATAAAAAAATAAATAAATAAAATATTCTAAATGTGTTGTATATCTTTCACAACATCTTTCTCTTTTCCTTCCAACAAACCAGCTTGTTGGTCTTTGCTTTAAACCCGGTTGTTGAAACAAGAATGATCGTCTGCACTGAAATCACTTCTTCTTTGCATAAGGAGGAACCGCGCTGCATCCTAAAAAAGGGATTTTAAAAGACGGCACTTGAACCGAGGAACGATCTGATCTGCCTCTATTTAAACGTAGTGGGATCATTTGCATAAGTATGCAATATACCGCCGAAGATAAGTGTGACAGGAGGTCTCGCAGGTTGTTACCAGGGAGTGTTTTCAGAGACAAAATGAATGAATGATTTCGATCAAGATAGTTGAGAAACTACACCTGCTTTTGGGATTTCAAACATCAGAGCAGGATTGGATTAATACACCTGCAGCCGAGAGGCAGAAGTAAGACGAGAGGTTAAACTGAAATTTAACTCGTTGATAAGTGCTAAAAATGTGGGTGTTCAAAGCACGCCGCCAGATCCATCCAGTCTATCTTCAGCCAAATTGTTTTCACTGATTAAGTAATTCTGAATGCAGATGAGCCGAGATGTCCGACAGGTAAATGCAAACATACATGCACATGGTGAAGCTACATGGTAATATCTTTACATGGTACATTATTTTAGGAGGAAGAATAAATGTGGATCACTTTGAAAGCTGAGTGATAACGTCTGCATTTCTGTCTGCACTTTAGATGAATGTAAAATAGACAACATGATCACTATTTCACGTAAAGGTTTGTGTAGCACCAGAGTCAGAAAATAAAATAAATTCACAGTTATTAAATCAGTTTCAATATGAGACCTAAATGACATAATGTTCATCATCTGGGAATGCAAAAAAAAAAAAAAAAACTGTGGCCAGCTGGAGCTACTCTATTTCAAGTCAGTTGGATTCTGCTCAGATTAGATCATGTTTCAAGTTAATGTTACTGCAGGGCTTAATTCTGGTGCAGTACAAAGAAAGTGATATGTTAATATTTCTGGAGTGGACTTGTAAAACATAAGCTTCAAACTATAAAGCAAGGGTTCAAACTATAAAGCAAGGGTTGCAGGTAGCTGTTTTTGTAAATGCTGGTGTCATGTTACCGAGTCTCCTGTCCTGTTAAGGTTCCTGACAGATTCAAGGAGAGCAGCTATTGTACCATAAAAATCCTCCAAGAGAGATCATGTTTCTAAGAAAACGAACATCTATAAAGTGGTGTTTAAATTAGGGGTTAAAAGAAAAAAAGATTTATTTCCCAGAAAGTATCTTTACAGTCAGTTATTGTAGTAATTTCCTCACAGTTCACAAACCTTTTCTCGAGCTGAAAGCCAGGACTAAATGTACCGTCTGGCACTTTGTAAGCCTCCTCCTTTTCCTTTAATCAGCTCGTCAGTAACTTAACTTCATTTAACTACAATCAAACATATTTTTGGTTCAAGATCATCCAGCACACATAATGCTCTGACAAAAAGTCAAACAAACATTTGCTCTTGAATGAGAGCCAGCTATACCATCAATCACTGGAGTAGAGCTGCAAAATAAAGATGACCATCTAACTAAACAGATTTGACACCGTTTTTGAATTGAGAGCAAACATATTTCATGGTTGCATTTAAAAAAGTATATACTTCAATATTTATATCAATCCTTCTTACAGGGGCTCAAAAACAAGAGCGGAGAGCCCTCGGTAAAAACACCAACAAAACTGCTGTTTATGGTCCAACTAGAAATCACTGGATTAAACACAAGATCTGGAAATATGATTGAAAATAAATTCAAGAGGACACTTGAGTGGTATATAGTTTGTATGATTCAGAAACGGCTTTTTGTTGTCTGCCCTAAATAACCAAAGCACAAAGCAGTGACAGCTGAATCCTGAGAGCTTAGAACCGAATAAGACACAAAGAAACTATTATTACCTTTCTCTCTTTTCAGGCTCAATATTTTTTTTTTTTATATGATCACCCAGAAATAACTTCAAACACTGGTTTCAAAAGTGCGAAATGACTGTCGAACATTTTCACCTCAGAATGGAGACGTTCGGGGAATAAAAAGGAAGGCTGTGTTTTCAAACATCACAGTGGCTGTCACTGTGCATCGATATTTAGATTTATTTCAAGCTCCTAAACTGTTCACTTGAAAACAAAACTGATGTTCTGCAGTTGCTGCTTCTCATTTCAAATAACACAAAAATATAAAATTGGTAGTTTTGAGACAACGGCATGACCACTTTCTGTTACGTTTATCAGTAGAGGTTGATCAACTTGCACTAAGAGAAATCTGTTGCTGAAATGTAGCAGCTTGCTGAAATGCAAGTCATTGAAAATGCTACACACTTGAAATTTGAGGCATGCACGAAAGTGTAAACACACAGCTGCCTGCTCCTAAAATTCTTCTAGGTTTGCCAGCAAAATTCAAAACTCTTAAAGTGCTTTTATTACAACAAATTACATAAAATATACTAAATACTTCAATACAATGAATGAATTCTACTTTTAATGACATCCGCAGTCTCAAAATTATTCAACCACTTGAACAAAATTCTTCACACATTTGCAAATCAGGTATGATTTCAGGCACACATGTTGGAACTAGAAAAAAAGCTTCCTTAGTTGGCTCACATGTGCATGAGATAAAAAAAAAAGGGTTTCATTGTAAAGTCAAAGGAACATTTAAAAAATGCATAATCTGTCACAAACAAGGTAAATGACACAAAAAGAAGACAAAAGTCTCAGCATAACCCTATTTTTCCAGGTGGAAGAATAGTTTGCAATTTTAAAGGTACAGTAGCAAAGCCACCTGGTGGCAGGAAGAGGAAGTTATCAGTGGTCGCCACCAGATCCCCGAGTGGACAGGTGATCCAAAACTGCAAGACTGACTATAAAAGACCCGCAGCAAGATTTTGTGGGCTACATTTCTACAGTGAAGCTCATATGAAACGCTTAGTGCCTAACCTACCATTTTTAAAAAACACAAACCACTGCTAGTTCACACATTTTGCCAGTAAACCTAACTTATAATAATTAATTCATAAGTCTAACTGCATAGGCATCTATTTGAAATGACCTCAGCGAAAAAGCAAAACTGCAAACTCTTTTGTTGTAGCATTCAATTACAGCAGCCAGGTTGATAATGGTAAAACAGCAGGTCATCATACAAACGAGCCACATAATGCAAAAAGATTGATGAGGACATACCTGTCTCGCCCCACAGAGTGTCATGACTATCAATTTGCACAGCATGCTCATTTTTCAGCGCCAGCAGGGCTCTCACAACCTGCCAAAAAAAAGAAACATAGATTAATGGCGTACCACTGCAGTATAAAATATCAAATAAACCTTCTATATGATGCAGCATGCAAAACTGTGGAGCAGAAAAAAATAAAAAATCTGCAAATTATTATAAATGGATCAAAGCAGAACTGAGGAGTTTAGGTCCTCAAATAACCAAATAAAGGGAGTTTTATCTCTGTTTACTTTAAGCTGAGCATTTCAGCTTGATGAGAAATGCAAAACGAACCCAAAGCCTAAAAAAGCAGCCCAGTCTGCCGGCTACCTGTTGTGTCAAATAATTAATTCATCACCACTGAGAAAACTTGGCCCAACTTCCTCCATCTTCAAATTCATGAGAGCGTGCAGTTGGTTTGCTAAATTAATATGCATGCATGTTGGTCAGACCTGTGTGTGTCCCATGCTCGAGGCTGCGATCAAAGCCTGCTGCAGAGCTTTGTTCTTCAGAGAGGAGTCCTGCTGCTGCCCCTCACCGCTCCATTCAAGCTCCAGCAGGTACTGGATGATCTCGGAGTGTCCACGCAACGCGGCGTGGACCAGAGCACACTGGCCGCTCTTATCTACGTGATCCACCTGGCATAAATGCAAGATTCTTGGATTTGTTGCCGAGAAACAGAAAATATGCTTTACATGCGAGGTAAATTTGGTGCAGCAGCCATAACCACCAGCTTTACTGCTGGAGATTGAAGTTGTGTAAATACAAGTAGGATTTTTATTCTATTTTTTTTTTTTATTTTTTTTTTTTTTTTTTTTAGATTTTGTCTTGGTGCAACCACAGGTTTTTCTGTAAACTATGAGGAGGATTTTACATGATAGACAAACACAAAGTAGCACTGTGAATTCAGAGGAAATTACACTCGTGTTTTTTTCTCAAGCGAGTTTTTGTTGCCGTTTCAGCATATTGCATTTTCTGGTATGTGTTTAGCAGTCATCTAGAGAAACTGTTGGCCATTCATTTTTTTGCAAAGGAGCTCAAACTCAGTCAGACTGAGTTGTGATCATATGAACAGCAATGTTCAAATTTTACCACAGATTCTCAATCAAATACTTGAACTGGACTTTAACTGGACCACACCGTGAACCCACATCCCGGTCAAGAATTACGACTCTATTACCACTAAATTACCAGTCTGGTCACGATAACAAATTTTGCTGGACGATAAATTGTCCCAGAAGTTGTCACGATAAACCATAATATTGTTGTTTTGAGACCATTTTTTAAGTGATTTAATGGTAATGGCCCAGTAAGGCAAGAAAAACACTCTCAAACGTCAATATGCTTTAATTTATAATCAACATTTAACACTGACACTGGGAGACCTTTTAAAAAAAATAAACAACAAATAAAATGAAGTATGAAGTTTCTGTCAACAGAACTGTTCTTTAAAAAAAGGGGCTAGTTGAGTCCAATGAACTAGACTTTTGGCATCTAATTTTTTTAGTAGAAAGAGAGAGAAAAGAGAAAAACGATAAATCATGCAAATGGAATTTCTTGAGCTTTATCATGCAATTAATTGATTCATTGCTGATTGTGACAGGCAACACAAATCTCACTGTTAAACAACTTACCACTCAGTCATCCTCTAGTTTTCCAGCTCAATGCATACTATGAAACTTGTGGATAGATTTCTATTTGTATTCTATTTTATGATTGTTGATATTGATTTTACAATAACGTGCTACTTTGTGTGAGTCTATAACACAGGATCTCAAAAAAAAAAAAAAAAAAAAAAACAGAGAATTAACTTTATAGCTGTATTTTGGCAAAGTGTGAAGAGATACTCATGATCCGAATGCATTATGTATCAGAGAAGGTAGCCATGGCTGCAGGTTTAAGACATTTTTTTCTTCATTTTAAGAACATTTTCATGCAAAAAAAAAAAAAAAAAAAAACTTGGAGTCTTTACCTTGGCCCCCCGCTTGCAGAGCAACATGACTAAACCCAGGTGTCCTCCAGCGGCTGAGAAGCTCAATGGGCTCATCCCATTTTCAGACACAACATCAACGCTGGCGCCAAACTCCAGCAGAAGTGAGGCGATCTCATGGTGACCGAGGTGACACTGAACACAAAGCACTGGGGCATTGTTCAGGACTTCTGTCCGGTAGTTCACGTTCGCCCCTCCCAGCATCAGCAGGCGGCTCACCTGATCACAAAGATGGGAAAATGTGAAGATAAGTCAAAAGAGGATGGTGAGAGCCCATGTTACCCAGTCCTCGTCTTTCATCCCTCAAATCAGAATCTTCTCTTATTACGAACTAGATCTCAACTCATCATCATCAGAATTGGTTTGCTCCTAACTCTTATTTTAATATTTTATGCCATAACAAATTTTGATGCCTATATCAAAAACCGTGTACCAAAAGATATCAATGTCCGTTTTTTTTTTTGTTTTGTTTTATCAGTGTTCCTAGTTTAAAACTAATTAAAAAAGTAAAAACAACAAAAGAAGAGGAATGTGCAGATGGCTGCAGTTGGGACATTATTCAAAACTCATGTCTATCTTTGTACTACTTTAAAAACCTCGTTTTCATGACAATTTATATGTAATTGAATCAGAAAAAAAGGATTAAATGAAAGTCTGAATACATAATCAAATTTCAAGAAAAAACATTTCAACAATGCGAGCCACTGTTTTCCGAGAACTCCTATCAAAACCAATAGTGACTCAATGATTTGTTGACGTTATTGAAAAACTGATGAAAATCTCAAAATAAAGGTCAGAAACCAATTAAAGCAGCTGAATTCAATTATAAGTGTTTGTTATTCTCTTCCCTGAGGAGTAAATCAATAAAATCATCTTGTCAAACACGTTTGCACCAATAAGGATTCTGCAACCTGAGAGAAAATTGTGTTTGAATCCTCAGCTGAATCAATTAACAGACTATTTTTTCCCCCAAAGGACAAAACCAAGGTCATTCTGCAATTGTCTCAAGTACTGACTCACAGCAGACAAGTGATAGAGCCTCACTGACAGCATCTTAGAAGCAAAGGAAAAAAAAAAAAAAAGATAATTCTGTAGTATGGTAGAAAACATAATGATATGCATGCAATCGCCTTTCCAGTGATGGTCAATCATTATTTCCCCAGAAAACAACTCATGTAGAGGGGAACACACAGATAGTTGTCATGTTATCAGTTTAACGAGCCCTGCTACCAACATTAGTCTAATTAGAGATGGGAAACAATAATTATGCTCTGCACAGGTTGGTGCATTATTAACAGTTGTGAAGTAAGGGAGAAAATCTGTACACATAACACAGACATCTAGCTGAGCGAAAACATTTACCTTTTCAAGACTCTCCAGTCCATATCCTTTTGTTCCCTGCATTTCTTATTTCTCCTACCCAGGAACAAATTTCCTCAGTTTCAACCTTCCAGTGCTTTTTAATTTTCAATGTTTTTATTGTGCGTGCGTGCGTGCGTGCGTGCGTGCGTGCGTGAGGAACCGGTGAATTGCTGGTCGATTTTAGGAACCATAATTGAAATATCACTCTGTGTGTGTGCCGGGAATGTGACTGGTAGGACTCAGTCACTTGGTGTGATGTCATGCACAAGAACCAACCAGTGAAGTGAATATGGAATTTGCTCGTTTTGCCAGAGAAAATCATTCTCAAACAACTCGCATCACGGGGACATAAACAGAGAGCACGTCTGGCTCTAGAAGGTCTCGCTCACACACACAGAGAGAGGAGATGAAAAGCCTCCTTACCTTGACATTTGGTGTGTAGAGGTTCCTCAGGGAAGCCAAGGCTGCAGAAAGACCATCAGCACTGCAGCTGATCCATAAAGCTTGAAGCACACTAGATGGAACGCCTGTTTTCTTACTCAGACCCTGCAGGCAAGCCAATACATCACACAGAAATATAAACACACAGGTAGGGAGAATTGCAAATGGCTTTATACTCCTTTTCACATTACAATAAACTTTACCACATTTTATTGGGATTTTTTCTTTTTTGGGGGGGAAATTTTCAACATTCAGTCAGAGCTGCAATACATTGGTTGGGATCTAAGCATATTTTATGTGCTAAAACATCCCATTCAAAGTACAAATAAAAAAATGTGCCTGGTGGACTCCTGACTTTTTTCATGTAAAAAAAATTTAATAGCATTTTCTTCCACTTCCCAAATAGAAGCTACTTTCTCTTAGTCTATAAAATAAAAACCATTGCAATTTGTGGTTGGAACATGAGTAAATGTGAAAAATCTGAAGGGGTATGACCACAATCTCACTGCACAAAACCAGCTAGAAATGCAAATGTTTTCTGCAGAAAATTGATTTCAAATGTCCAAAGATGACTCTGTGGTTTTACCTTGAAGATGTGTGCCTTCAGGATGTGGTGTCCCAGCTCCATCGTCTGCTGACGGTTCAGTTTCCCCTCTTGGCGTGACAGCATAAAGGCCATCAGAGCGTGGCCAGTCCTGAGTTACAAATCAACAGAAAGATTACTCTGCCGTCCGAACGAGGAAAGCCTGCTCATCTGAACCGTAAACATAAAAGCACTTATTGTTTTATAATGATGAGTAACTTGGCATCTACACAGAAACCTCTCCTACTCAGGGTTGGTGTGAATTTGATGCAAAAGCTGGTCAGGGACCCAACACAGGGCTGGAGTAAAATAAAAAAACAAAAAAAAAGAAAGAAATAAAACACGTTTGCTGGATCTTTTTTTATTTTTTTTTTCCCCACACAGGCACTCTGGCACCAATTAATGCAGAAAGTCATTAAACGGACATGCATGATTGCGGATCACTTTGATCTGGTTACAATTCCCTCTATTTGAACACAGACACTGAAAGGTACTGTGCAGCAAGCTTTTGTCTGCCCAGGCCAGACTATAAGCGTTTGTTTTTTTAATGGAGCTGGAAGGCTGTGAATGACCAGAATGTGAAGTTCGGATCTGGTCCAGTTCAGAGTCATCAGTATGTGAGTAGAGGTGCACGACAGGGTAGGGGCCGGGGAGGGGGAATCCGGCCAGACCGATATCTTTCAGCTTATTAGGCGTGCATGGCTGATCCGAAGAATTTCAAATTAGGCAACTGTATCATATCTGTCAGGCAGAGCAAAAAGAGCCCCAGCAGAACGCACAGAAAGGTGGAATATCTGCTATATACTGGGCAGCATGTGTTTTGTAAAAAAAAAAGATGTAAACACTTAGGAGCGCATAAACATTCAAGCATTGATTATCCATGTTTTGAGTCTTTATTTCTATTATCTGCATCCTCTATCTTATCCATTTTATACAGTGTGTGTGTGTGTGTGTGTGTGTGTATTTAACAAACTGGTAAAAATGTGATTTTTCTCAACTATTAAAATCATCCACAGGAGAGTCTTGACTGGCTTATTAAGACTCTCCAAAGCTACAGCACAGCACATGTCTAAAACGCATAGGCCAATTACCAGCATCCACGTTTACTGAGGTTTTAAAAAGTTTCTCTCAAAAACATTTCATATTGGTTTTATGGTTTGAAGTTCTTTTAATGAGTTGTCTGGGAAAGTGCTCGATTTGGTGCAGTTTTCTCCAGCTGTTTGAAGCACAGAGAAAGTGCAGCCCTCTCCCTCACCTGTTGCTGTGCACTGCTGGTCAGCTGGAGCACCAGCAGTCTTTCGAGTGGAAACCGCTAATTATTTCCTGTCTTGAAAAACCTGGATTCTGATCGTCACTCATCACTTAAAATGGCGACGCTGTTAGAAGACCAGAGTTGGGAAAACTAAGAGCGGCAGCAGACTGCCTAAGCAGAAATTCAACCAAGAAGATAAGTTTCAAAAGCATCGTTGACACATCTGTGCTCGACAGTTAACACGCAGCATCACAGCAAAGAGATGCTACAGTTCTACACACTGAGCCCAAAAACAAAGCACAAAATATTTTAAGCAGAAATGCAGCCTAACACACCTCAACTCCTCCTTCAGCAAGCGAAAGCATGACAGTATGTCCAATCAATGTAGCCCAGTTTCCTTGGCGATAAATGGAGTTACAAATTAACAGGAGTGTGTTTGTATCAAACCTCTACAGTGTTTAAAATGTAAAGACTAACTTAAAAACAAGATAAATATCAGCTTTGATTCAGTACATGATAATTTAAGCTTCTGTAAGCAAAAGTATTGAGTCTACTTTAAGTGGAGCTATAAACAGTTTTTTTTTTACTTGATACAAAATAGAAAGCTGTAAGGATAATCAGAGTACCTGAAGCATTTCAAACCCAATTACTTCGCTGAGTCAGACATGAGTCGTGCTGTGTGTATTGATTAAAGCATTTTGCTTCCTTTTCACACTCCGTCCCTCTCCGCATACTAAATAACCAACAAAGACTCATGGACGCCTCGAACAATTAAATGGGAATCATACTGTGCAATAAAAGTTTGCAAAGAAGTGCGTGCTGTCGTAGAAACGCAGTTTTCAAAGAAAGACTTACAAATACAGACTTACAGATACAGTTTAAAGAAAACCTCTTTCTTTTCTGATGCTTCTTTTATTGCCTTCATGTTATCAGCAAGCGTTAGTTGGACTCTGGTGCGGACCGTTTGAAGTTTGTAATCCACAGCAAGAGGACTGCCTAAATGCTTTACAAGCTTATCATGCATATAACAGAGGCCCGCATTCCTAAGGAAGAGCTGCTGAGAGCAAAACATTTGCTTACGAAGCAGAGGACTGACCTGGGGTCACAGAGGAAATCTGTGCTCTCTCCGTCAGCTCTCCACACCAGCCACTCTCTGAAGGACGGGTGGCAAAACATGCGCGTTTTATCTCGCCGTTTGATGAGAAAGCACGAGAGCAGCTCCATGCGCTGCTGGAAGTCCTCCCACTGCAGCTCCCCTCGGACGTGGCCGGCGTTGATGGCCTGAAACAGCTGATCGTCCGTCATCGGGTGCAGCGACGCCAGAGCCACGTTGAGGATAGGCAGGGACCGCTCGAAGGCCGAGTTGGTCATGAACTTCATGTTGCACTGGAGCTGGTACAGTTCAGCCAGCGAAACAGGCACTACTTTGTAGCTGGCACTTTTGATCACCAGGTGGCCTCTCTCAAAGAGATCCAGCGTGAGCTTCAGATACAGGTAGGAGCCCTGGCTGCGCGAGGTCAGGTGGCCGCTGAGCTTGGTCACAGTGCCGGGATCAGCCTTGCCGTTCAGGCTGATGTTGTTCATGATGTCCTTGCTGCTGTTGATCCGGTACTGGATGTAGGAATTGAGGTCATTAGTGATCTCTTTGTTGTCCGTAAAATCATCCAGGGAGATTTTAGAGAACGAGAGAAGGCTGGTGATCTCCTGCAACAGACAAGGTGAAGTTGGTAAAGATGCAGGTTTTTGCCTCAATTTGTTATTGATTCTAATATAATCTAATTTTATTCACAAGAATATCTGACCAAATCATCCCGTGAAACTTGTGTTGGCAGCATCATGCTATGGTGATGGTTTGTTCTTCAGCAGGAACAGGAAAGATGGTTAAAGCTAATTACAGAACACTCCCAGACAAAAACCTACTATAAAGTGAAAAAAAAACAAAAAAAACTGCAGACTGAGGTAAAACATCACTCTACACCAAACCAACAGAGCTAAAAATACACGCCTAGCTACAGGGTAATGGTTTAGATCACAGAGTATTAATGTGTTGGAATGGACCAGTCTGAGTGACAGCAAAACCTTTGTCAAGAATTAAAATATTATGTTCACAGACGCTCTTGATCTAATCTGATTAAATTGAATTCTGGCAGAAAACTATTTTGTAGAAAGTTTGACACAAAACTTCCCAGATATGTTTTAGTAAAAAAAACACTCTACCTGTTCATTTACCAGATAAAATTCCAATAAAACACAGTGATTTTTTTTTCCGTATTAACATGATGAAGCGTAAAAAGTTTCCAAGGTTATGAATACCTTTGAAGGCACTGTTTTATGAGAAGAGGCTTTTCAAACAGCAGGGAAGTACGCTCAGTAAGCTATCAGGCCAAAGCAGAGACACCTGCTACTGTTGGAAATGCAGCTATAAGGACGACAGGAGCAGGTGAAGTGAGTATTAAGAGGCAGGGGAAGGATGGGATGGTGGCTACTAGCGAGTAAGCACAAGTCTTAGCCAGAGCTCACATTTCGATTCATGTCCCGGAGGGTCAGTGTGTCTTAATCCTCCAATCCTTTGCCTGTCTGAGGCCTGAGAAACATTGCCTGAGTGAGATAACGCTTATTTCTTCCTCATCATAACAACACAAACAGAGAAACACACACACACACACACTACACACAGGCACACACTACACACAGGCACACACTCGATCAGGTGAAGTGAAGGCAATGCCTTGCAGATAAACTTAGTGTTGGTATCCAGCTCAATGGAAACAAAAAACAACAACAACAAAAAAAAACCCTGACAAGCTACAGTCAGGGTCTTTTTTCACATTGTCCAACAATGTGCTGTAAAGTAAATCATAAGAAGTATTCAATCCTGAAAACACAAATAATCAATGTTTCCACGTAGTGATTTACCACATTGAGTGAGCTGTGTGACGACACCAGAATCTTAAATGCTTGGCAGGCTAATAAATAAACAAACTGAATTGGCAGCACAGACTGATGGACAGCAGTCAATATCTGGCTCCTTCCTGAGCATTAATAACCCCTACAGTGGATGTCAGTCAGCTACCACATTATTATTCAAGACTCAATCAGCTGTCGCTTGGCTCATCAGGCCTGTCAAAGCGTCAGCTGCCGCCACGGCGACCTCAACACAGCCAGAGAAGATCTTTACAGCTGTTTAACTGAGGGTCATCAAGACAGGAAGCCCAAAGTTTCAGACTTCTCTTTCCTGTCATACAGACTTGAGTTCTGGGTCACCATCTGCCAATTCTTCCAGGAAATGCTGGCCTCTCTTGACAGGGTGTCTCACATTTGTTAAAGTCTATTGAGCGTCTCGAGACGTGACAGCAGATCAAACTTCAAGTGTGCATATCTAAAGATCTTTGTGAAATAACTGAAGATGCATCTTAATAGCTTAAACATACATTTTCAAACCTTTCTACAAATTCTTTATTGAATTCGGGTCATAATGTTGATGAGATCATCACATGAATACATTTTCATTTAAACTATTCTCTTTCTGGCTCTGGCAGCTTAAGGTTGTGCCAGAACCTTAAGCTTAGTGGAACCTTTTCAAGCTTCCACTAAGTTTGCCTCAGACGTTTCCCTGTATTCGCCTCCATCCATCTTCACGTGAACATAAAGAACACAAGTGACGCCGTGTATTAAGGTCAGCATCAACTGGAGCATCATCTTGTACGTGTTTACAGAGTCCGTTACGAAAATGGATGTAAAACTCCAAACAGGACTTCCTGTGGCTGCCATTCAACAAACTGGTTCTGCTTAACACATTTCTACAAAGGTCAGAAGACTAACACTTCTTCTGTCAACAGATTCTCGCATCCGAGTTGTGAATTCATGCAGCTCCCTCCGAGGGACTTTGTTTTAATAAAGTAACCCGTGCTTTAAACTTCTCCATGGTGTAAAAAAAAAAAAAAAAAAAACATTAAAAAGGTTAGTTTCTTCCTTACCATTAAGTTAACCCGGACAGTGACCACCAGCTTCAGCCAGGAAGGAAATTTGGGAATGATCTTAGTGATGAAAGAAGCGATGGTGTCTCCATAGTCAGGCTTATGAAACTCCGCTTCATTAAGTCCATCTATCAAAATTATATGGTCCTCCTCTGAAATTCTCTTCTCTGAAAACGTACACATAAAAAAAACAATGAGAAGACAATAAGCAGGGAACAGCAACTGAGACGAGTGTTATTTCAACTAAACTACCAAGCTGTGAGAGCTTTATGATACTGCAGTGGCATTTAGCAGCTAAACATTTATCAGCACTTCTACTAACTGGTACGAGATGTGCAGGGAAAGAAATGGCCCCATTCTTGAAATGTCAAAGAGCTGTACTTTTCCAAACCTAAATATCTAGAGTGCTCAGTCCTTTTATAACACCTTAAAACAATAAATACAAAAATGACACATTTATGGGATATAATTGGACAGTGTTCAGGCTTAAACAAAAACAGAAAGAGAAAGAAAAAGAGATGTATGACGGCGAGGAAGAGAGAAGGAAATGAAGGAAGGAAGAGAGAAAGGAAGGAAACAAGAAAGAACAAAAGGATGGATGGACAAAAAAAAAATTTAAGTCACAAATGATGAACAGGCCTGAAAAAGCATTCTTACCATTACGAAGGTTGCCCAGCGGCTCCAGGACCCCCCTTCGGAAAGCAGCCATGGGGTCTTGGACGCAGGAGCGCAGGCTGAGCATGCTCTGGAGGTGGGGCTCTTTCAGCAGTAGCTCTCGGTAGGCAGTGAGCTGATGGGCTCGGCACAGCAAAGCTGCGATACTGTGCACAAACTCTGGTACCAGGCAGGTGTACGTGTTGTCGGCCTGGCAATAATGATACGCAACCACCTGGAAAAGTTAATGCAGAATGTCTTAAGCAACCGGGATACTTGACGTTTTCCTGAAAGCTCCCCAGAATCTCCTCAATTACTGAGGCCAGGGGAAAACAGCTTAAAATTTTATTATTCTGCATATATAAAACTATGAAATTAAATTACTGTAAAATTCTAAAAGCAGGCTTCTCCATATCTTAATGGAAGTTGGGTTTATTGGGTAAAATAAGGGAAAGATGTGAGAAGAAAAGAGACCTTGGGGATGTGAATTTGTACTAATTGCCATCCAAACTAAAGGAACAGACTGCCACTTGATATCCTTCAACACTCTGAAGGAGGTCTTCACATGAATTACATTAAATCTAAAGATGTCTGCTGGCAGCATATTTTTAATCAATCTGCTTTATAAACACACCACCAATGTTTGCGTGTCATTGAGACATCAAGTTCCTGTCATTGTTTTGTGGCTTGGAAGATAAAATATTAGAAAACCAATTTAATATGACTAAAAAAACAAACAAACAAACATTTAACATCTGGAGTATTATATCTCCAGAACTTTGAAAAAGGATTCTTTTTTTTTTTTTTTGTCACCTTAGAGCGACAAAACTCCATTGTATTTTATTAAGAATTTTATGAGACAGGCCAACACAAAATAATGTACAAATGTGAAATGAAAAAACAACATATTGCTCGTGTTTTTTTTTAACTAATGAGAATCTGATTGGTTAAGATGTCCATTTTTGTTCAGACCTCTACACACAGATTCTCTATTGAATTTGGGTCAGAACATTGATGAGATTGGTAAGTAAATATATATATATATATATATATATATATATATATATTCATTTAAGCTATTCCACTGTATCAATGGTTCCATTGTATCAATGGTTGCCAAAGGATGACACTTGGTAAACATTTCACTTTATAGCTTCTAACACATTTTTAGCCAGAACTGCACTATAATTAGACCAACTTGTCTATTCCTGCAAAAGAAAGGTTTTTCTCACAGCATGATGCTGCCACTACCATGTGTCAAAATGGTGGAATCTGCAGCTCTTCCAGAGTCACCCTGGAAATCTCAGCTGCTTTTCTGATTAGTGTTGTTCAATTTGTTTCTTGCACTTCACATTTGTGCACTACTTTGGTCTGCCACAGAAAATCCCAGTCAAGTATATAGAAATATGTGATTATAATGTGAAATAATATAAAACGATTCAAATACCTAAATAAGCAGAAAGAATTATAAATCACTACATATAGTAATGGTTGAAACTGGAAGTTATTAAGATGAATAAGCAAAGAATTTTGTTGTTTTACAGATCTGCAACAGGGATTTGGAAAGTAAATAAGCAGAAACAGTAAGCAGGCAATAGTCCAAGGGAGAAGGTACATCATATAATAGAGCTATTAAAAAAAAAAAAAAAACAGATCTGAGATGTGGTTGTTTATCCCACATGAAGGATGCAACTGGCCTAAAAGCAGACTGTGGAGAGCGCTTTGCAGTAAAGATATTACAGCAGCGCATCCGAGTAAAGATGAAAAAGGATGAATGGATACAATAAAGCAACCTGTGTATCAGCAAACAGTTCACTAAAGTACATGAGTCATGCAGACTGCTGCACCAATAAACAATATAAGACAAGCTGATGCAACACTGCAGTAAACCTGCAGCCGTTAATCTACGAGAACAACTATAAATCTGTGTTGAAGAAACACATCTGAAAGAGTACTCAGTCCAAGCAAAAAAAAAAAAAAAAAAAAAAAAATATATATATATATATATATATATATATATATATATATATATATATAAAGCTTGTGATGCATCATAACATGTAATAGCCTCAGAGCGCAGATATGAGACTGCTTTTAAATCAGTGATTAAAAAGAAATGGCTGAATTTGACAGAAGCTGCTCAGCGTTGCATCAGTGTTCACACATCACAGGAACAGAATCCCGGAGAGAGCGCCGATTGGAAACACTTTACGCATTAATTGGCTCAAGAGATGTTTTTGGGTTTCACAGACGTTTAGAATCTCAGTGCATAAATAGTTAGCAATGGAGTTCATGAACTGTTCCAATAGCAAGAGAAAGCTGCATAATATCAATGTGTAAGGGTTCAAAAGCCACCCACAACAGGGCGTGTTTAGTCCCAAACAAGACTAGCGGCATGTAATAAGCCAAATTAGACTAATTGCAAAGCAAAAATCAATGGCAAGAGTTTAAGTCCGGAAAACAAATACCAGAAGATGTGACCTAATCTAATTGAGTAAAGGTATGCTGGTAACTGGTCATGGCAGGAAATCTTGGAAAAAAAAAATATAAATTCTAGTCTTGTTCCAATATCTTCTTGTATCATAATTTTTAAAAAGCTTTCAGAACTGGTCTGAAATCTGTCGGTTCAACTCAGCACAAATCATGTAAAAGAGGTATAGGAAGAAGCTATTTACCCAGTAAAATTTTAATCTTCAACTGTTAATATAAAGTTTAGTAAAAGAGGAAATTTATGACATCCCTGGTCAAACACTAGACTTCAGCCAGCTGCAAATGAACATTTAAAAGACAAAAGCCCCTAAAATACCACTTGTACCTCCATTGTTTTAATAACTACAGAAATACGTTTCTTGCTAAGACGTCCCTTCACACAGCAGAATCATGTCATTTCACCTACATACTTCCGAAATGTAGAAAAAAAACCTCAGCTTTTAGGCCAGTAAAACCTTTTTTTAAACAACAAACCACTGCTTGAATGCAAAAACAAAAACAGGAATGTCGTAAAAGATTTTAGAAGCAATGTTTTTACCTTTATGGGTTTTCTGTTTTAATATGAGAAAATGTATAGCTGGAAAACATATTACTTGTGCCACAAACACATTTTGGAATAATTAGTCTTTCTAAAGTGGCTTTGCAGTGTTTCTATGAGGAAAAAACACACACACACACACACACACACACACACACACACACACACACACACACACACACACACACTGCTATTTCCTCTTCAGCTTAAGTTTATCGCTACCTTTGAAGCCAGCCGTTTGACAGCCTCCTCTCTGCGCCGTTGCATCTCAGGAGTTCCTGGACAGCTGTTGCTGCTAAGTGTGTTGGTGGCACTGGGTGGTGGAGTGGGCTGTGGCGGCTGGCTGAGGGGGAGTTCTGTGCCTTGTCCCGCACTACCTAAAAGAAATAAATCAGCCATATGCTTTTGAAAACAGATATTTGCATATGCTATATAAAGAGAGAAAACCCTTTCTCCCCCCTCCCATCACTTTCTGATATTAAGTCAGTAAAAACTTTTATTGTTTTAGGTCAGTTAAGGTAAAAAAAAAAAAAAAACTATATATATATATATATATATATATATATATATATATATATATATCACACACTATTTTTTT